GTTTCCAAAGCTCTTCTTGTCATGGTTAATGGCTCCATTCAGGTACCACCTACTTATTCCATAGATGCTATTAACCGTCAAACTCCCAATCCGGAATTTTCCACTTGGTTGCGAATTGATCAAACAATTCGTTCTTGGTTATTTGCAGCCCTATCTTGGGATGTTCTTATTGATGTTCGTGATTTAAAACATTCCTATGAGATTTGGGAGCGGTTGGAGTCTCGATTTATGTCTGCTAATTTAGCTAGATCTATGGAATTAAAAAGGTTATTTAATCAAATAAAAAAGAAACCTGATCAGTCCATGGATAATTATCTGAGAGAAATTAAAACTTTAGCTGATGATCTTGCCACAATCAATTGCCCTGTGTCGCCTCGTGAAATTTTAAAGACTACTATTATGGGATTGGGACCTGAGTATGAATCCTTATTCACCGCTGTGTCATTATTTGGACAAAACTTCCCGTTTGAAAGTCTTCGTAATCATCTTCTTGAGTTAGAACATTGAGTTATTTATCTACGCTCCCAGGAGTCCTCGTCCCTCCATCAGGTCTTCGGCGTTGCGGTCACTTTATCTGGGCAATCCACTGGTCAGCAGGCCGGCCAACAGCATTCAGGCTCACAGTACCCGGTCGGGCAGTCTCAGCACCCGGTCGGACAACAGAGGCAGCAAGGCTCTCAGCAGCGCGGCAGAGGCCGCGGTCGCGGGCGAGGCTGCGGTGGCAGGGGCCATGGCAGAGGGCATTACCCAGTCCAGTATGGTAAGCCGCCAGCATACTGGTATCCTCAGTGGCAGCCAGCTTATAACCCTGGAGGGGGTGGTTCACCTGCAGGGGGTGTGACATCTACGAGCACTGTTATTTGTAATTCTGCTATGTCACATTTAAATATTAATGCATTACCTGTTTGTGTTACTAACATTAGTTCTGCAGGCTTGCCATCAGACGGGGGTATTTTTCGGTCTGTTCCCCATCCTGTTGTCTGTCAAATTTGTTTTTCTGCAGGTCATTCTGCTGTTACTTGTCCCTCCCGTTTCACACAACCCTCCGCCCCTGCTCTGTTGACTACTCCTGGTGACACTAATCCTACTTTATGGTTTCAGGATTCGGGGGCTTCTGCTCATATGACTGCAACTGAAGGTAATTTAATTAATAAATCTCCCTACACCGGACATAATTCTGTTAGTGTTGCAAATGGTGCCTATCTCCCCATTAGTCATGTTGGTGATGTTGCATTACCTACTACTGGTCGTCCACTTACATTAAAATCTGTTTATCATGTGTCTCAGTTAAAATATAATTTAATTTCAATTCAAAGGCTCTGTGCTGATAATAATTGTACTGTAGATTTTGATAAAAAATCAATTTTTGATTAAGGACAAAGCATCGGGGGTAGTACCTCTACGAGCTACCAGTAGTGGGCCACTTTATCCTATCCATCTGCCGCCATCTTCACCATTAGTTTATGCTTCAATTTTAGCTTCTGGCCCTGTGAGGCAACGTAGATTAGGTCACTGCGGTGATAGTATTTTACAGTTTCTTAAGAGAAAACAATTTCTATGTAGTCATTCTCCTTTTACTCATGAGTGTGTGGTTTGTCGTTTAGGAAAATCACAACGTTCGCCTTTTATGGATGCTAGTCATAATTCAATTTTCCCTCTAGAAATTATTCATTCCGATGTGTGGCAATCTCCTGTATTTTCCAACATGGGATTCAAGTATTATGTATGTTTTATTGATGATTTTTCCCGCTATACTTGGATTTATCCTATGCATCACAAAAGTGAGGTTTTTATGCACTTTAAAAATTTTAAGGCTTTGGTTGAAAATCTTTTTAATCATAAAATTAAATTTTTTCAAAGTGATGGAGGGGTGAATTTGTTAATAATAATATGCAGCAATTTTTCTTGGCTAATGGTATATATTTTCGAAAATCATGTCCTGACACACCTCAACAAAATGGGGTTACTGAGCGCAAACATCGTCATTTACTTGAATTAACTCGGACCATGCTTCTTGAAGCTTCGGTTCCAAGTTAATATTGGGTTGATGACATTTTTACTGTTGCATATAGTATTAACAGATTACCCTCTCCTACCTTAAATGGCTTTTCTCCGTACCAAAAACTTTTTAACCGTGTTCCGGATTACTCCTTTATGCGAGTTTTTGGATCTGCTTGCTATCCGAATTTTTCAGCCACCTCAGCTAATAAATTATCCCCTCATTATGTTCAGTGTGTTTTTCTTGGCTATGCAACTGGTTATAAGGGCTACCGTTGTTTTGATCCTATCACAGGTTGCGTCTATATTAGTCGTCACGTTAGGTTTCATGAGGACACATATCCCTTTAAAACACTATCACCTAGTCCAACACATTCTATCTGTACTACACACTCTCCGATGAACCTAACTGATGTTACCCTTGACCCACCAGTCCAGTCCCCTATCATCACCATTAACCAACTCCCGCAACGGCTCCCATCCCCTTCTCAGCCACCTAGTAGTCCTATCACTTCCTCTGTACCATCGTCAAGCTTCCCCACGCCAACCAACAACCCGCCACCCTCACCTCCAGCCTCCGTCAGCCGAACTCCGTCCAGCCTGTCGGATATCACCTCCTCGGCCGACTGTGCATCACCAGACCCCCCATCACCTACGTCCACTACGATAGCTAATCAACACCCCATGCAAACCCGTGCTGAGTCAGGAATTTTTAAGCCCAAAATTTTTTTTAATTTAAGTACGGTTATTACTCCTGCAGATCCTACCTGTTTTACTGAGGCAAATAAATATTTAAAATGGCGTGAGGCGATGGCTGATGAATTTAATGCACTCATTAATAATAAAACTTGGGAGTTGGTGTCATTTGATAGCTCTAAGAATATTGTTGGATGTAAGTGGATTTATAAAACTAAATATCATTCGGATGGATCATTAGAGCACCATAAAGCTCGATAAGTTGCACATGGTTTTAATCAGCAGGCAGGTATTGATTTCTCTGAAACCTTTGGTCCGGTCGTAAAACCCACCACTGTTCATATTGTACTTACTCTTGCTATTTCTTTTGGATGGGTTATACGGCAACTTGATGTTAAAAATGCCTTCTTACATGATCATCTGACAGAAGAAGTTTATATGCGTCAGCCCCGTGGTTTTATTCACCCTCAATTTCCTAATCATATATGTCGTCTGCGTAAGGCCATTTATGGTCTTAAGCAAGCTCCACGTGACTGGCTTCATAGATTCAGTAGCTTTCTTCTGCAACATAATTTTTCCTGTAGTAAATCTGACAATTCATTGTTCATTTACCGCCAGAATAATACTATTATTTATTTATTATTATATGTGGGTGATATTATTATTACTGGCAATTCCGAGTCATCTGTTACCCAATTTATTTCGATTATCTCTCATCATTTTGCTATGAAAGACTTGGGTAATCTCCATTATTTTCTGGGTGTTGATGCTATTCGTTCACCTAAAGGTATGTTTCTCTCTCAACATAAATATGTTACTGATCTTCTAGCCCGTTTTCATCTCCATACTGTAAAACCTGTTCTCACAATGTTAGCTTCCCATACCACTCTGTCTCTTTCTGATGGTGAGTTACTGTCTGATTCTACTGAGTATCGCACCATGGTTGGTGCATTACAATATTTACCTTTGACACAGCCAGATATTACTTATGCAGTACATTTAGTGTCTCAGTTCATGCATGCTCCTCGTACCACTCATCTTTTTGCAGCAAAAAGAAATTTTAGGTACTTGCAGGGCACACGAAAACATGGGCTATGGCTTCAGCAGTCTAATCAGCCAACCTGTGTAGTTTCTTACTCCGATGCTGATTGGGCAGGTTGTCCTGATAGTTCTCGGTCCACCACAGGTTTTGATGTCTTCTTGGGTCCGAATTTGGTTTCTTAGAAGACTAAGAAGCAACCTACCATGTCGAAGTCCTCCACAGAAGCAGAATACCGTGTCATTGCTTACATAGTACAGGACACACTGCATATCCGGTCGGTATTGTTCGAGCTTGGATGGCCAATCACGGAGCCGGTACATTTATTGTGTGATAATATCTCTGCTGCTTATTTGACTGCAAATCCTGTTCAGCATGCCCGCAGTAAACATATCCAGATTGACTATCATTTTGTTTGGGAACGGGTTGCTCACGGAGATCTAATTGTTAAGCACGTTCCTACTCATCTACAGTTGGCAGATATTTTTACTAACAGTCTCTCTAGTCAACGTTTTCATTTTTTAAAAGACAACCTGCGCGTTGTATCTCCCGCACAGCTTGAGGAGGTGTAATAGAATTATTAAAGGCTTAGTATTGTACTTTACATTAAACTCTCTTTGGTATAAATATATCTATCACGGCTCCTTAGGGAGTAACCTTTCCATTATTCTCACAATATTTTGAACGTGTATTAGATCATAAATACATTATAAAAATGTTGTTCGAATAAATATAATTTCAACTTAGTAATCGTTAGCGGTGTCTTTGAGGAAAAATGGAAAGTCCCCAACTTGATTTGTTTCTCGATCACACGAGGCACATGCTTGTGCAAACAATGTGAAACTCCGAGAGGTGTTTATTTGGATCATCTCCTCTTAGCCCGTGGAAAGAATATAGTAGATGAATGAGCCCAGATTTTAGCTCGAATGTAACACCGTATCAAGAGTTGAAAAAGTGATACATAGGGGTTGTTGGTTGAGATTAGGAGCCGTGAGCTCCCTCAATGTTATGGTTTCAAGAGGCATAGTTATTAGCTCTTCGGGCTCGCTAGAATGGGTGTTAGCGCTTGATGATTCTCCCGAGTCGGAGCTTAGAATTTATTTTTCAACCACTCTAGAGTTTACTCTATTTCGGGGTTTGTTTGGTAGGTGAGTTAATTTAAAGACCGGGTTCTTACCATATACTCAAACAAAGCTCAAAAAAGTAAAAATCTTAATATATTTTTTTTTATTTTCTTGAAACAAATAAAAGAAAAATGATTGTCTTTCCCTCAAATAAAAAAATATATATTAAAATACGAATTTAAATGCCCTTTTGCCCGCAGCCCGTACTATGAGCTAGGCATATGTGGATTAGGTTGGGTCTAATTTGGCAGATTCTCAGTCATAGATTTACAACGATTCCATATGTTTGGAATGTTTTGTAACACATCCATAGAATCCCCAAAATCCATGTAATCGACGTGATCATCAGAAGACACCCATAAACAATAGCAGTCGTGCCCCCATTCAATAAATTGCGAACAACACATTCTGGAAGGAATTTTACTAGTTGTACTATCACCATCTTCCTGTATAAGTGCAAGAACATGTTTTCGACATTCGCTGCAAGGTGGCTTTTTATTTGAACACTTTGATGAGCGTTGCACATAGTCCAGTATTCCTGGATCTTCTCCATCAATTATTTCAATCGAGACTCGTATATTGCCTATCATTATTATAAACCATAGTGTATAGTAAATCTCGGATGTTTTCATTTCTACGGATCTCAAATGTTTTGCTTTTATTGTGAGCATAATATATTGTTAGCTTATTCGTACGTAATATCATATGTAACGCATAATAAATGTGTGCATAACACCCAACGTAGCGAACACAGTTATAAAAATAAATGCATACCATACGTTACAAATACTATTAATAGTCCTTTCCGATGTGATTAAAAAATAGGATTATTAGCTAAAGAATAGAACAGGATTCTATTCTTCTTAAGTTTAACTAATTCATTCATTGAAAGTGTAATTGTGAGAAAAGATGAAGTTTGATTCTGTTTTGATAAAAGTGAAAGAGTAGAATAGATTTGTGAATTTGATAATAGTTTGGGATAAAATAAGCCAATAATCCTAAAAAATATATGTATGCGTGCTAGTAAATGTTCTATTTGTCTTAAGCACTTATGGAATGTAACCGTGTGCACAAAAATGCAAATTAAATATAGATTAAACGCATTTCTAATTTACTACAAAAGAATAACGATATTGGTATGGACTTGACCCAAAAATCATGTTTAGCATGGATCATAACATATTTTTTGTACAGCCAGTGGCAGAACTACAAAGGGGCTTGGAGGAGCTCGAGCCCCTACTGCGCCTTAGGACTTCGGATCTCTACGCATCTGTTGTAACAGAGTATGTTTTCTGGTTGCTGAGCTGTTTTCTTTTAATTTAACCAAACCTTCAAACGACGTCGTTTGGTTTAATGATACTAAAATAATAAAAAACGACGCCGTGTTTACGATGATAACTGGGCTGCTAAGCCTTTATGTAAGAGCTAATTTTGAGGAAATTAAACGGAAGAATGGCTGAAAGCCTAAAACAAGCAGACCTTAGCTTCGGATTGTTCATTTGTTGACTTGAATTCCTTAGCTTGGTTAATTGTTGTGCAACTTGTTTGGCTGAATGTCAGTGGATAAGAGATTTAAAGAGTATAGCTTAAATTTTACTCTATTTTTAATTAACTTAATTTCCTGAGGGTGTGTTTGGAAGTGTGAGGGTGAGGGAAGGGGAAGGCATTGAAGGGGAATAGAGGGAAGGGAAGGGGAGGGAGATGGGAGGGATTCCCTTATTTTGTTTGGGAGTTACAATTTTCAAAAGAAGAGGATTTTGGAGGACATATAATTAAAATGACACATGTATCCCTTTCTTATTGTATAAACGTTATAGAACATTGGATGTTATATTTTTTTATTATTTAGATTACTCGTTGCTTTGATTTTTTTCTTGAAAAATTGCTTCAATATTTACATATATAATCATAAAGAGCATGTTTTGGTAATACCAAATTCGAAATAAAAAATATGAAAATAACAAAATCAGTTTATTATTATATAATTTAGCGCACATAATAAAAAATTACGTACTTAATGAAAATATGACTAGTAAGCTAATAAGTAAAAAAATATAGTCAGAAAATGAACTCATATTTTTTGTTAAAACATCATAATGTTTATTTAAATAATAACAATATTTAAATTCACATTTCAATTTCACTTCAGCAAACAAAAAATTATTTTATTCAAAAACAAAATTGTTTAATATTTAAAATAATTGAAGTATAAAATATCTAAAAACTTACTATATACCAATACTTTTGACAAAAAATTAAAGCGAAATGAAAAATGAAAATATAATAGAAGACAATTAACTTCAACAATTATAGGACAATATTATCTCAACGTATTATGTTTCAAATTTTATTTCAAGTACTAGGAGTTATATTAATCTAGCGCATTCCAATCAATAACATAAACAAGTCAATCCACTCCAAATAAGCTCGACTTTCACACACAGTACATTTGCCTTTACTAATATGGCCTGCAACCAAAAAGAAAAATTCATTAATATAATATCCGAAACTTGCAAGTGATTAATAAATAAACAAAATACATTTGATATCACTTTTACCACTATTATCGAAATTATAATTTTAATAACTTAACAACAAACAAAAATCTTACACTCTCAAGCACCTTTGTCAAAGAATGACATCATTACATTCATCATCATGACCAAATAAACTACAGTATCATTTTTAAAAGTTAACACGAAACAAAAAATCTTACAATCTCAAACATCTTCATCAAGGGAACCGCATATATCAAAATTATTGATAACATAAACTGCCGAATTTATATAGGCCTTCTATTTCTCATCTGCCTAGTGCCTAATGCTTTTTACAACATCAATTTCACATTTTTATCAGCTATTAGACTCACTAAAGAATCTACCTATGTTTATAGCATTAGGATTCTAGCTGAGGAGTAATAGTTTTTTTAATGTGTCAAACACAACCTGCTAAAAACAAAAAGTAGAATGTAAAAAAAAGCAATTTTAACAAAAAGCAGTTTTTTGACTATTATGGTATAAGTACTGCACTATTGTTACTTGTTTGGCACAAGCCTTTTGCATTATTCTTCCATGTTTTCTAAATTGAAGATGACTGAAATGATAAGATAAACTTTGGCTCTAGAGTCTAGGGGAGCCTCTGAATTGTTCAAACTACAGCAAAAGTGCATCCTAAGCTTGCTATTTCTAGATTTCTTCCAACAATTCTGCACGAACATATTTCTAGTAAAAAACAAACACTTAACAATGCTAGCTAGGAACTGTTTTTTAATTAAAAATTCTGATTGCTATTTTGTTTTGTTCATCTCAAAATATGCAAAAAAGAACTTAAGAAAGACTTAATTATGAAAATGGAAGAAACAAATACATCAAAAAAACAAAATCCCAGATAAACAAGCATGCTAGTTAAAGTCATTGTACAATCAAAACTTTCGTTCTGCAAAAAGGTTCACAATACAGAACTGTGCATTATGAAAGTTATTTTAACTATTATTTTAAGAAGTTAACAAGAAATAAAAAATCTCAGTATCTCAAGCATGTTCATCAAGAGACCGTATATATATATATATATTAACACTATTGATAAGATAAACAGTTGCAAAGACATCAATAAAAATTAATAGTATACTGGAAAATAATGTTAAAACGTAACACTCTTGAATTGTTTTCAACTTAATTAAAGGCTTCCAGTGATTCTAAGTCCATCATGGGCCAGAACCACGTGACATTCTCAATGTAAATCCTATACGTAGTACATTTCAGACCAATACTGTTTTGATCCATGCTTCTTCAAAACCCAAAAACCTTTTTGAGGGCACTGATTGTAATCACCAGCACTATAATTAAGAAAATGATGAATAATAAACACACAAAACAACACTTCTGCGAGTGAAAATTTGGGCCACATAGTGAAAAGAAGAAACCTCATCTCCATGAAATACAAAGGAACTTAGACAAAATAAACAGTTTAAAAAGTAAATATTAAAAATAAAAACAAATGAACCATGAAACCTGTGAAATAATAGAAAAGGTTACTCCCTGAGGAGCCCTGACAGATATATTTATATTAGAGAGAGTTTAATGTAAAGTACAATACTAAGCCTATAAGAATTCTATTACACCCCCTCAAACTGTGCGGGAGATACAACGCACAGGTTGTCTTTCAAAAAATGAAAACGTTGACTAGATAGACTTTTAGTAAAAATATCTGCCAGCTGTAGATGAGTAGGAACATGTTGAACAATCAGATCTCCATGAGCAACCCGTTCGCGAACAAAATGATAATCAATCTGAATATGTTTACTTCGAGCATGGTGAACTGGATTTGCAGTCAAGTAAGAAGCAGATATATTATCACATAATAAATGTACCGGCTCGGAGATAGGCCATCCAAGTTCGAACAGGACTGAGCGGATATGTAGTGTGTCTTGTACTGTGTAAGCAATGGCACGATATTCCGCTTCTGTGGAGGACTTGGACACAGTGGGCTGCTTCTTAGCCTTCCAGGAAACCAAATTAGGGCCCAAAAATACAGCAAAACCTGTGGTAGACCGAGAACTATCAGGACAACCTACCCAATCTGCATCGGAGTAAGCAACTATACAGGTTGGCCGATTAGACTGCTGAAGCCAAAGTCCATGATCTCGTGTTCCCTGCAAATATCTGAAAATTATGAGTGGTACGAGGAGCATGCATGAACTGAGACACTAAGTGTACTGTTATTTGTAATTCTGCTTTGTCACATTTAAATATTAATGCTTTACCTGTCTGTGTTACTAACAGTAGTAAAACAGGCTTGCCATCAGAAGGAGGTATTCTTGGATCTGTTCCCCACCCTGTTGTCTGTCAAATTTGTTTTTCTGCAGGTCATTCTGCCATTAACTGTCCTTCTCGTTTCACACAACCAACGTCTCCTGCTCTGTTGACTACTCCCGGTGACACTACTCCTGCTCCATGGTTTCCTGATTCAGGAGCTTCTGCTCATATGTAGCATTTCCTTTGCAGAGCAAACCGGTTATTAATAACCAGGGGCCATATCACACGGAAAAAATGATGAACATTGGAAAGACATTATCGATTTTCATGGGGAGATGATTCTTCTAATAAACTACAGCAATCTTAACTAAACAGGCTTGGCAAAGATACACCTTCCTTTCATAAAAAAAGTTCTTCAACAACCCTTCTTCACCTCTGATTTGGTTTCTAAATTGGTGAAGGAGTGTGTGAGCACTATAAACAGTTTAAGAACCAGGCTGAAAAATTAGCAGTGTTGTTCGATCAATCTTCCCCTATTAAGGTCACTTCTAGAGAAATTAGCTACAAGAGCAGCTTCAATCCCGGTCTTCCTTCCCGGACTTTCTTTTACGTCAAGTGCTAAGTGACAAAACCTATTGTCTTCCCTCTACCTCTTCCCCCTCACCCTTTCTCTTTCATTTTTTATTGTCTTTATTCTGAACGAATCCTATATTCTACGAGAAGTTCGAATCAGTTCAGTCCCAACAATGTAGCCAATTTCACGAAATACGAAAACAGCTTGGACGGACCGTTCAACCAGAGAGAAAACAAACCTGAGATAGCTGAGGATGAAAGGTGAAGGTACGAAGGAGATAGTTGAGGATTGGCAGGAGATCAGATAGCTAGGGTTCAATGTGTGAAGAATTTCACGCATAGGAGTACATATCCGATCGTAAGTTTGTATAGCAGAGAAGGATAAAATAGCCACCCGAGTGCTTAAACCCTTAAAACCTACCGATTCGGAGGAACTGAAAAAGGCAGGTTTTGAGGGTCGTAAAATATCTCCAAATCCTTTCCTCCCATTTTAGTAAACTCGCAAACACAAAATGGAGGGTCATTGGCCCTCCCATCCCTTCCGCTCCTCCCAAAATCCTACTCCTAAACACACCCTTAAGGTTTTACGTTTTAGCAATAGAGTTCGGACAGTCTCGTGATACTAAATTTTGTTAGTTAGTTAATTTCTTTATTTTAATATTATGTGAATAATCTTTAAATAATTTTGGACTATATGTAATTAAAACGACTATTATTCACAAACATATGTGTCGTATGCAATGTTCTAAAAGGCGCTAGGCGCTAGTCGGGTGGCAGCCCAGCGCCTAGGCGGGGACTAGTCGGAGACATAGAAATTGCATTTTTATCTATATTTTTGCATAAATATGATAAGTAATACTTCTTATTGTATTTTTGTAAAGTAATATATATATATATATATATATATATACACACACACACACACACACACATTAACAAACATGAATGATAGAATTATCACATTTAATCATACATAGTATATGATAACTAATCATTAACTTCATTATGTTATAAATATAAATAATGATAAAATTTAGGTATATATACAAACATTTATAGTTTTATCTTAATTTACAACTTCATTTCTTTATATCCATGACTAAAGTTAAAGTACGTATATCGCTTAGAAAATTAAAATTAAAAAGTAAAGTCATATTCGACGGATTTAGACGACCTAGGCGGCCGATTTGGCGCTCTAGGCGGACAACTAGACGCTATAGACGGCTGAGTAAATCACCTAGACGGCAAACCAATTAGTCGGAGCGCCTAGATAAAAATCGGGGCGCCCGGCCACCGCCCAATGTCTAGGCAGGGACTTATCGGACGCCTAGAACGATTTTTAGAACAGAGGTCATATGTGAATTTTGCACTATAATTTCATAATTTGAAAATTATGAATATTTTTTAATTCAAGCGGGCATAGTTGTCTCAAGTGGTATATCTTCTAATAATTAACAGTAGCCTTATGCAATTTCAGATACTATTATTATGTATTTCTCATATTTGTATTAAAATTTTAATACTTTGAGTTCTAATGTATTGGTAGCCCCTCCAAAAATATTTTCTGGTTCCGCCCATGGGTATAGCCGTACAGCGTTGTGCCAAATATTTGGTGACAAAACGTCATTGGCATGATGTTTATGTATCTAGGGATGGCAATTGTAACTGATCCGATGAATACCCGCACCGAATCAATCTGGTTAAAATGGGTAATTGGTACGGGGCGGGAAACCCCCGTTTTATTTTTATGGTTAATAATGGGGCGGTTACGGTTTTATATATGCGCGCCCCGTACCTAGGGAGGAACCATCCTTGGGCCCGGGGGCTGGGGGCCCGGGCCATGCAGTGTAATTTTTTTTTAAATATGTATGTGTGTGTGTATATATATATATATATATATATATATATATATATATACTATTAATAATTATAATGTTTGAGCCACTGCAACCTAGTCCAATTCCCCTGGGCCATTGCGGGCCATCAAATCTAGAGTTGAGACCCATCCCTAGCAGCCCAACTCCTGAGCCCCTTACCCGTTAACCTTGCGGGCAGCAACACTGCAGCGACTCAGCGATGGACAAAGGACATGGGGCCTCTTCAGTGCAGCGACTCAGCGACGGACGGACGGAGCGAGACTACGAGACAGCGAGCTAGAGGAGTGACGGACAGCGACCGGAGTTATGGTACCCGTCCCATTTATTTTTAGTTATATTTTGATTACATTTTTTCCTTTTATTTGTCCCACAATTGATAAAAGATAAGATTTTTCTCTTTCGATGTGTAAACATGGATGTGCTAACTACTACGTATAATGTATGAACGAAAGTTCATAATAGATTTTAATATAATTACTTTTTAATCAAAATATCCACAATAATACAAGTACAATGCTATATAACTAACAACATACATCATCATTACCCCAGTGCCACCAAGGCTTCCACGTACGGTGGAGTAAGGGGAGGTCGGATGTTCTTAGTCTTACCCTTGCACTAAAGCACAAAAGACTTCTTCCGGATGACCCATTCTGAAAATCGCGTCAAAAACTCTTGTGCTTAGTCTTACCCTTGTACTCAGCCTTAAGTTAAGCTAGGAATAGGAAAAGGCTAATGAAAAGGATAATGATAGATGAACTACACTTGTGTACTATTTTCACATGGGTAATGCACCAAATTTATATTTCAAGAGGGTTTCGGTGCATAAGTGCATTAATCCCTTGATATCTATATCACAATAAATACAGTAATATATCGACATTATAAACCAAATGGAGCTAAAATATGAAAATTAACAAAAAAAAGTGGAGAGGTTACCGGTTGTGAGGGTCCGCGACGACAAATGAACGTGCGGCAACACTGGTGACCAGCGGTGCCGTCCGGGACGTACAAACCTTGACGATGAAAGAAATCGCTGGAGAGAAGAGGGCTGGTGCAGTGAGAGCGAGGGGCGGTTGGACGGGAGGCGACGAGACGACTGAGTTCAACGAGAGACGAAGATTCTAGGGTTGGCGGACCGCGATCCGAGAGGCCTCCGACACTGCGGTCGGCGATGGGCGCTGATGGGATCCTGCTACGGCGGTTTGTTTGTGACTATTGGAAAAGCAAATAAAATATCTCATTAAATGAAAAATGACTTGGGCTAAAGGAAATGTCGAGCTCTGCTCAACAGTGTATCTCTTCATTAAAAGTCATGTCGTAATGAATTACGGAGTTCAAAATCTGTGGCGCTTCTCATGACAAAAGCATCGCACATATGATATTTATTTTATTAGTTATTTTATTTATTTGTGGCGCTTATGCGTTCAAAGGTGCCTGGAAATCTTATCTCGCGGTAGAAAAATGCAAGGCGTTCACAAGCGCCGCTCGCACACAATTGTAAGCGCCTCGATTGTCACTTTTTCCACTAGTGTATTACTCCCCCGTAGTTGAAGCAGGAGGAGCCCAGATGCTAAGACTATCTCGGAAACGAAGGAAAGTGGAGCATGTTAAACCCTTGGTGAAAATGTCAGCATATTGACAGTCAACGGGAATGTGTAGGACTAGAATATCTCCAATACGGACATGTTCACGCACAAAGTGAATGTCGATCTCAATATTTTTGGTACGCTGATGTTTGACGAGATTGCCAGAGAGGTAGACAGCGCTGATATTATCACATTAGACTATGGTGGCTCGGCACAGGGGAAGATTAAGTTCAAGTAGTAAGTTGCATAACCAACATGATTCAGCAACAACATTGACAACTCCGCAATATTCAGCCTCAACACTGGACCGAGAAACAATAGGTTGTCGTTTCGAAGACCAAGAGATTAAATTCTCCCCGAGAAACTCACAAAAACCAGATGTAGAGCGACGAGAGTCAGGGCACCCAGCCCAATCAACATCAGAATAGGCGGTAAGACCAGTGATAGGTGATGCAGAGATGAATAAGCCATGATCAAGTGTACCCTATAGGTAACGTAAAATATGCTTTAGTGCTTGAAAGTGAGGTTCACGAGGATCATGCATAAAGAGGCAGACTTGCTGAACTGCATAAGAGATGTTCGGGTGAGTGAATGTAAGATATTGTAGAGCACCTGGTAAGCTTCGATATAAAGCTGGATCAGCTATGGGGGGGGACCTGTGAGAGCATTGAGCTTAACAGATGTATCAACATGTGTAGCCACGAGGTTACATTTGATCATGGTAGCACGAGCCAGAATCTCTTGAGCATACAATGATTGAGACAGAAATAAGCCTAAGGAGGATTTAGTCGCAGTGAGTCCCAGGAAGTGGTGTAGTTCCCCCAGATTAGTCATGGAAAATTCTTGGTGAATGAGGGTAATAAAGCGGTGGAGTAACACATCAGAAGAAGTTGTGAGAAGAATATCATCTGTTAGAATATTATTTTATTGTGTTCAAATTAATTGTAAATTAATTGATGAGTCTTTGTAATTAATTAGATTAGCTGAGAGAGAATTAGGCCTGATTTAAATGCTCTACATAGCCCACACGCACGGCCCATATTGTTTCCTAATTGTATTAGGCAGTTCGAATATCTCTCCTATAAATATAGGTTGAGATGGCCGAATCTGCTCTACAAGTCTCTACACATTCTATTCTGAATATTATTCTCTATAGAGCCAGTAGATTAGAATTCTCTCTCTAGCCTGTTCGAGTACCATGTATTGTTCTTCATCGAATCATCATTATGAATACACGGTATAAGTTAATGTTGAATCTGGGCATATCTCACACAATTGGTATCAGAGCCTCGGCGCAATTCTGTTCATCTGATTCCTTGAATTTTTTTGGAATTAGTTTGATCAAAATCACAATTTTTGGTTGAATTAATCTCTAGATCTGTTCTTGGAAACTTACTGTTTTAGAAGGATTCTACTACAAGGAAAGCCACGGAAGAAGAATCCCAGTACAAATTGAGTTACCAAATTTTCGATCATCCGAGATCTTCCAACTATTCGCTGATCCGAGATCCTTCATAAGCATCCGAGTTTCCAATTTCGGAAACCCGAAATCAGCACTTCCGAATTTGTAATTTCGGACCCCCGAACTCTAATCATCCGAAATCAGGTTTCCTATTTTAAGATTTCGGACATCATCCGAGATCACAATTTCGGACATCCGAAATCAGCCTATCCGAAATTCTAAACAACCGAAATACATTTTTCCAAGTTTCTAAATTTGGACGTTCTCGAAATCTTCTTCCGAGATCTTCTTTAAGTAGTACCGAAGTTTTAATTTTATCAGAACAATTCTCGCCTTAAGATCAAACAACAGTCATGGAAGCTTACACACTTGGAAGTGATTCAAGACCTCCTCTGCTTAGGAGAGGAGAATTTGCTGTCTCGAAAGTCTGTTTCCTCAATTTCATTTGAAGCCGAGCAACGGAAAGAATATTCTTGACTCTCTTAACAAAGGACCACTTGAAGTTTGGGTTGATGTTCCAGCTATCGACACAAATAATCCTCCCACACCAGCAGGTCAA